TTTTTCTTTTTCTTCTTTTTTCGTTTTTTTTGGTGAGTCAATGGAGAGAGGGCCCTTACCCTTTGTAGAAATTGAGTCTAAGACATAGCATTGCAAATCAAACGCTAACCAATTAAGCCCGAGCTCTTTTTCTACACAAACTCTATGATTCAATAAGATAGTGCAGAATATTCAAAGATATTCTCCAACAAAAATACAAAGGAGAGAAAATACCTCACTCTTGTAAACCCACATTTCATAAACAGTTCACCTATGGTAAAAAGAGCCAAAATCAACAGATTGCAGAAAATTTGAACCTTAATGTGTACTGTGCATTTACCTTTCATGCATGTGACCTAACGAAGTATGCATGTGTGTTTGATAAGTTTTCACCTTCTGTTTTGGTCCAACCATATATGGAAGTTCCTAATGGCTGAATGAAAATTGTTCCATGCGTTGGGGGCCGCATTTATTCATTTGCATCCCCTGAATATAAAGATGGATGCAAATGGGTGGTCCATCTAAACACAATTGAAATTACCAGTTCAAATATTTTTTTCATAAAATTATTATTTTAATTTTTAAAATCCTTTTATTTATTTTGTATTCATAATCTCCATGTTAGAAATTATATGTCCTTAAAAGCCCTGTCGAATTGAGATGTTGAACCCTAAACCTTAGAAAGCCCTAGAAAAAAACCGGTACAATAAATCCTTAGCCTATCCTAGGATATAATAAATTTAACCTTGACCCTAAATACATATGCAAAAAAACACCTAGCCATGGCCAATCTCAGGAGTGAACCCTACGCAACCAACACTCTCCCTAGACCCTCACATTCTCTAGCCAAAAGAAACCTTCAGAACTCAGTCAAGATACACTTCTTAGTCTAACCGGCGAACTTCGAAGAGTGGGAGTGGGGGCGCTTCAACCCCAAATATGAATTAGGACACCAAATCTAAGTTTCAGGCCTGTGGGCCCAGCTTACAAGTGTTTGGGGTATCTTGTCTCAATAAAATATCAAGGAGTGTTGATGTGTAGTCAAATAAATTCCAAGTACGATAACCATCAGAATACCGAATGAACTGCTGGAAATGGCTACAGTGGGTAAAAGACAGTCTGATAATAAATCAAAAGATGGAAAGTACCCTTAATATGATGAAAGGAAGATCCATACCAAAAACGTTAAAGATATGAGCCCAATCATGCCCAAATCATGTGTCAGACGGTCCAAAGGAGGCACGATCAAGATCTAGTCAAGCTGGTACAAAATGTTAATATGACCATTCAATCTTTAATTCAAGGAACCCCAAGGCTACACTAAAAAATTCAGGTGAATCTAAGGCCAAATGACCAAAATACAGTCTGGCAAAGCTCAACTGTCCACTTCACAACGGTGATCTAAGACCAATTTGCAAAACCTCCTCACGATATAAAAGGATAAATGACACGATAACATTATGGGTAGAAGGTATTAGTATATTAATGCTACGGTTCAAATTTGAGCCAAATTCGACATTGGATGGATGAGAAGTGGCCTCTTGAATGTCTGGAACCGTAAGTGGGGCCCACGTAAATCAGTCTAACTTTACAAAAGGAATGTAAGAAATAAGTGACCTAGAGCATACCATGGGTGATGAGCTTTGGAGTAGATGACTGAATTAATAACTTCACTTATTGATTAACCTTGAAGTCCTTCACCTTTTCTTAATCAAATATCAGTTCAACTACAAAATCTTGGTCATCATCTAAGTATGTATTGAAGTTCTATAGCGGATCCTAAGCTACAAAGTGCTGATTCTTGATAAAACATGCGTCAAAATTGAGAACGTCCTCTTCAAATAAAAACCCTTGAGGGATGTCCCCACATCTTACCTTTGCCCCTTCCAATCATTTTTGTTGACTTTATTCCTCAAATGGGTACAAATTTATGGGGCTTGGTCATGTTTTGGATGATTAGAGGATTTTCTCAGCTTTGAGCTCAAACTTGGAGTGTATGAACTTGATTTTGACCATAGCATTTCCATTTTAGTTCCACTTCAATGATGATTGATCCAAAAACCTTCAAAACACATCCACCTCATATATCCTATATGCCCATGGCACACTACAGCATACTTTCTTCATACACCACGATCCATTTGATACACTTCTTTAATCTTTTGAGCAAAATCCCTCTCATATTTTCAACTTGGTGAGTTAGATTCGGCTTCCTTTTGCATTGCAAATCACACTAATGGCAACAATGAGGTACATTTTCCATTTCTTTTCATTCAAGTTAAATTTTATAACTTAAATTAATCTCCAAAACTTTTATGTCTTCTATAAAAGTAGTAGCAATGGTATTTTCCTCATTATTTTGATTCTCAAACATTTTATGGTCACTGCCTATGTATTATATAGATAAAACGGCATATCTATTTACTTTTGTCTTGCCCCTTTCTTCATAGAGTTGATATCTATTTTTTTTTTTCTATTCAAATTCTCTCTTATCATGGAAAAAGAGCTCGGGCTTAATTGGTTAGTACCTGACGATTCCCAACGCTACATCTTAGGCTCAATTCCTACCAAGAGTAAAGGCCCTCTCCCCCACTGACTCTCGCAAAAAAATAAAAAAACCCTCTCTTATCAAAGAAATAGAACTTGATTAAGCTCAAAAGTCACATAAAATGAGACATCAATATATGCATGAGAGATTATAAGAAAGTCTAAATGAAACACCAATAGAGTTATTAGTCTATGTGAAATCCTAATGGATTGCAGTCTGTGAAATGCCATGCAAATCTAAAGACACCAACTTGTCCTTAATCTATCCTATTTATGCATTGTTCTTTCCTCCTTGACTTCCCTCTTATAAACTTCTTTATAAACATAACAATTATTTTCCAATTCAAGGTATTTTAATTGAAGGTGTGTGCCATAAACTTTATGTGATAAAAAAAACTTCATAGGACTCTAATCTATAAGCCTTTTGGAGTTGCACAACCCAAAATACCATCTATTTACATCTTTAACAAATTACTAGAAATCTCATTTATGTCAAAATTTTTGAATTCCTAATTGCTGCATTATAATCTATACAAATTCGTAAGTTCATGAAAAGAAACTGGGACTTAAGCTGAAGTTCCCCCCTCAACTCTCCCATAATAAGCAATGCCACTTAACCAGAGAACATTTCAAAGCCATGTTAAAAATCATATTAATAATTATGCTTATAAAACATAAAATTAAGAATTTTAAAAAGGGATCACTTCCATTTTATTGGATGTCTCTGATTAAACAGGGAAAAAAAAAGTGGAAAATTTTCAGCCAACAAGACTAACAACTGACATGATCAATGGAACCTTTATTTATTTATAGTTGAAACACTAAATGTGAAAGTAAATGTTAAATTAAGAAAATAAGAGAATCCCTGAAATTCTTATGTTGATAAACTAAATCTAAAATCAAGCATTCCCTGTAAAATACCAATGAAACTATGAACTCTATAATGAAATACATAATTTTTAAAAATTAAATAAAATTTCAGTACCACATTGATTGAATTCAGTTAGAAAAAAGACCAATAAATTTCACAGTCAAAATTGAGTTTGAGATCAAGTTCTCCTTAATGAAGTGGCCCGCCTAAAGAAAGTACGGAAAATAAGAAATTTCACCATAACAAATATAGCCATGGCGATCTGGGGGATTGAAATTAGAATTTGCTAATCAATTATTAAAAATGACATAGCACTCTTCCATGTTAATCAATTCGTAAAACAGGAATTCATTTCTTAGAAACTTATTAATTCATGTTATTATCCTATTAACTTAATGCCCTAAACATTACATCAAAAATAAAGAGATCAAGCAAAAACATAACTATAACATAGATAAAACATTATAATGGCATAACTAAAATAGAAATCAACAAAAAATCAAGCAAAACAAAGAAAACAACAATGACATAAAGGGAGGACACAATATGAGAACAAAAAATTAAAGAAATACGACAAAAAGCTATGAATTTTAAGAAAAAATATTCCATACTAATAAAAAAATACAAAAGGTTAAGTAGAAGAAAAAAAAAAGAGGAAATGTGTAAAGAGCAAAAAATTAAAGTCCAAAAGGAAAACTTAAAAACCAGAGCTTCAACTAATTTGGGGCACAAAAGGGTAAAAAAAAGTAGCAAATGAAGTCAAACTAAAGTTAGATCATGGAATTAAATATAGGAAGAAAATAACAAATTGAGAAAGATGGAAATAAAATAGGGAATGATTCAGTTAAGAGAGATTAGTAAAAGTAAGATATTCAATTGTATTAGGGGTAACTCCCACATTAATTGGTAAGTTCTTCATAGCATGTAATCAAAGTCTGGAAAACAAAAATTAAAATAATTATGATAAAACACAATCACAAGTCATAAGATACATGTTACATTCCAAAAACAAATAAATAGAAATTAAAGTATAAATGAAATAGGTAGGAGTTATAAAAAATAGCATAAATCAAAGAAGAAATGAATTCAAAGAGAACATAAAGAAATCACAGAATAAACAAATGAATAACACCAGAATTAGCTACAAAGATAATAACATTACAGTGAAAAAGGGTTTTGCCAAGACAGCTATGTCAACATGAGCCTCTGCTACCCACCCAACCCACCCATCCACCCTACTATCTTGGTGCGTCAAAGGCTTTTAGTCATTTCAAACTGTCTGTCTTGCAAACAATTTTGGCTGAGAGGAATAAAATTGGATTTGATATATTATCATGAGTCCTTTTGTCCAAGGTAGAAGCTTTTAATTGACGGATTGATTGATTTTGAGAGAGAGAGAGAGAGATGAGTCTTGGTCTTTTCCCTTTTAAAATCAAATACAACACAAGATACACATGGCACTCTGAGCTAGCCTTTGTCTACACTCTACATTACAAATTCAATGTGATACTAGAGCCTTGTAGAACTAATCTAAAGCCTCTTCAGTGCTGAAAATTGCCAGCTACCGTAGTACGATATCAATTTCCTCAAAATGTCCCTTCAATGATTTTAAATAGCATATATTTATGCTTCATTCCCTGTGTATCCATAGGATTCCTAAATAATCATCTTATGTGCTTTTGAGATAAGAAAAAGCCATTGATTGTAAGTCTCCAAAGTTGTCCTCCATCTCCTGGTGCATGAATTTCCTTTAGTTCATTTGCATGCTTGAATAAGAGTCTATGGTTTGAGAAGAGCAACCTATATTTGTTAACTCCTCTCCATTGTTTCCAAAGTATCCTCCACCAATATGGCTTGTGTCAGTGAAGCCATTGTACAGCATTGGTTCACAGTTCCCTAAGGCATTTGACAAACACTGTGACATGTTTGCCATTGATTGTTGGCTGAAGGTAGGGTTTTCTGATTGATAAGGGAACTGTGGGCTTGATGTGGTGCTAACTTGACTATGGGCTACCTGTTCCTTCAGAGAAAGCAACTGAGCTTGCAGGTTGACAACCTGTAAATTAAGGCACACGACGTTAGAACAAGGCACGTGCAAACAATAGTGCATGCTATAATGTGCTAGGGCACATTCAGAGTTTCAGATACAGTTGAGGTTTGATTTAGTTAAATTTGAATGTCTAATTTGACCAATATATTTCATCAAAAGATAACAATAAATCAATCCTCCTCCTAAATCCTTCAATTTATGCTAATAAATGTCCTAAACCTTATAAATAAACTAATTTGTTTTGATCAGCTCAATGCTAAATCAAACCTTAGGAAGGTAAGCGATTTCAACTTGGTTGATCAATGAATGAATGGATTCAAGCTTCTGTTCTAGAGCGATTTCTATCGCGACATGAGCTTCGCCTGACTTAATCTACAATTTTCTAACAACCCCTGCATGAGAATTTATTACAGCAACAGCTACTGTTGACCTAAGTCTGATAATGATATTTGTCTCACTACTCTCAAACTATTCATGTTTGATTTATTTTTACCATGGGAATTGGGTTCCCAATCTATGCAAGGCCCCACACTAGCGTTCTCGCAACAGTGTTAAAAAACTATGAAAAAATGGTGATGAGATTCAATCAAAGATCTACACATGATGAAACAAACTATTGTTTGATTCACCTCTTGTTGCAGGGCAAAAATGTGGGCGACACAGCCATAGATGGGGTCTTTAAGCCTTGCCTGTGCTTCGTAAGAAATTGTCACTGCCGCCTCACTACGGTCGCTAATTGGCAAATGGGTTAAGAGCTTGGAGACATTACTAGCACCAAAGACCTTATGTATAGCTGCAAAATTGGTGGCACCTTGCTCATTGCAAAAATATGGTGCAAAAATACAACCCCTGGCACACTTTCTTCTAAGAAACTTGCAGGCTCCACATGGAGATCCAAAGCCTGTCATCTTGGCTGGACTGGACTGGTTTTTTTCTTTGATGGGTGGAGTTTGGAGCCATGGCTTCCAAGCTCTAGTGCTTATAAATGCTGTGAAGGGAGAAGAATGTGAGTTATTCTATTGAATAGTTATTAGAATTGTTAATTCCATGTTGTCTCCCTAATGGCCTACAAATTACATAGTTTTTCTAGACAAAAGCCCTTTACCCCATCTCAAATTTAATAGCTTGAATATGAGATTCCTCTCATGGGGTGTAAAAGACAAAAGAGCTCACATATGAGAATAAGTTAACAGAAGATGATACGGGCAATGAGCCTTCGTATCAAGGGAAGCAAGAAATGACATTCTACCAAATTACATTGGACAATAAAAAAATGAGCACAAGAAAATGACGACCCACCTTGGTTCTATTCCATAGTTCAATCGGGATGGGGTCCTCTATCCACAGTAGGAATAGAACTCAAGACGTTATGTAGTGGCTCCCACCATTTTTGCTACCTGGCCCTCAGCCGGTTCTTTGAGTGTTGGTCATTGGAGATTTGAGTTCCTATTTTTGATGAGAATAAAATCCGAGACTTCTTCATAAAGCTTGACAATACCACCAGCAAGGCGCCGACCCATTTTCAAAAGATCATGTACTTTAAGAGACAGAGAGCTCATCATATACGGCTGTTGTCCATATATATGAGAGATTACTATGTACTTGGAGAGAGAGAGAGAGGTGAACCTGTACTATGATTGTACATGCATTAGAGAGCGAACTTTGAGCAGTAGTGTAATGACAATTGAGTAACAACCTATCATCAATTTACTTATTATTCTCTTTGAATCACACACTAAGGGCCTAGTAGTGGTCCAATATGTAGGCCACTCTCACTAGGCATGCATAAACACCATTTACAAGAAATAAAGGTTACCATAAACTCCCTTACTTTTTACAAAGCAAAGTTTTTATTCCAATAAAGTTTCTCTCTCTCAACCAAAAAACCAACTTTGTGCCCTAACAAGAGCTTTTATTTAGACAAAAAAAATAATTTTTTTAGAGAGAGAAACTTTCTCACTCTAGAAAAACCAAACAGATGGCCTGGTTAAGTAAATGTTGATTGGGTTTGGCATGGACCCACTTGAGCTACAGTGTCAAGTGGCCACATAGTTATACAAGGCTCCATTTCCTGGCAACCATTATGCATAATCACAATGGTTCCATCATGTGTACTTGTTGGCCACTTACCTTAGCAAGTGATCTTGGAGACAAGAAGGCAAACTAATTCCTTGGGATCATTTAAATATGAGTCTCTTAGTACAATAATAATGTGGAGGTTCAACTAATCTAGAAAGGGACACCACCAACAGACATATTAATACTTTCCCTAAAGCCTTTTTTTAGCACCTTAAAACTCACTGCCCTTTCCCTTATTCCTTTCCTTCTTTTTGCCCTTTCAAGTGAACTGTGTGGGACTACTAAAGCCTAGAGAGAAGCTATTTCCTCCTAAAGAGGGAGTGCTAAAATCTAGAGAGAACCTCTCTCTCTCTCTCTCTAATATGTACACAAGGACAACCATATTACTAAAATAAGTTATAGTTATCCAATCTCCTCTCTCTACTACCAAAATAGGAATCTATCCCTCTATCATATTTTTATTAAGTATAAAGGAGCATGGCTCTAGAATAAATGTTACTTTTCGACCTCCTGATTCGAAAGAATAGGAAAAATCAGGGTTTTATTTGTTTCATTTAGGGTTTCATAGTGTTGCAGGATCAGAAGCCCCTCTCTCTCTAGTCATTGATGTAAACATGGACTACCACAGTACCAAGAGAAGTTGTTTAATCACCCCCTCTCTGTATTGCCCAAATAGAAATGAAATGGAAAAGTATACAATGCGATCATTTATCTTTTTAATAAGATGATTATAATTAATCTTGACATTTGGATGTGAAATTGAGTGGTTGCATTTATTCTATTGACGAAGTATAAAGTTCAAAATTTTTTTTTTTGAACTTTATGGTAAAGTCAAACTATCAAATTTCACATCGAATGGTTATAAGTAATTATATCTTCTTTTTACCATAAGTAAATGGTCTCATTATATACAATCCCAATAGAAACTATTTACCTGTAGGTCTCATTATATACAATCCCAATAGAAACTATTTACTTGTAGATGCACAACAAAACTTGACCCGTATTGAATTTATTTATATGCCCCCATCCCCACTACCCCTACTTAGGGGTGGCAACGAGCCCGGCTTCGGCCAGGCCGCCCCTAACCCTTGTCCTCATAGGGCTGGCCTAGGCTCAGCTTAGACCTGATTGGGCCGAGCTAGACGTAGCTAGGCCAAATAAAATTGAAAGAAAAACCAAAATAAAACACAAAGTTAAAGAAGGGAGGGCGGAAAAGAAAAAAAAAACCAGCATCCTTTAATGCTTTCAAGCGTGTTCCATGCACGTGTGAGAAATGGACCGTCATTGTATTATTTATGCGTGATTGCCTTGCAATATAATCAACACGTGTGAACGCACATGAGTCGGCATAAAAATGCATTTTCGAAATAATATTTATTGAAGTTGGATCTTTTCACTGTCTCCAAGGAAAATCATGTCTTCTACCTAATATTCCCCCTGTTTCTTTACCTTCACACTCCCTTACAAAACTAATCTTCTGCCATATTTCGTCTTCATAACCTTTTCATTCAACTATTTAAATTTTTTGGAGAAATTTAGCACTAGTACCGAATATTGAGATCCATCACCACCTAATTGTGCTCAAAATAACATTAATGCTAAAAAACTGTATTTGTTAGAAGGGAACTTTTTTAAAAAAAATTCCTATTGCATCATCATAATAAAAAAATAACCTTGTGTATTTTATATTTTATGGTAAAGTCCCACTTTTTATGTATTTTAGTTTGATATTGTTGTCTTTTTTATATGGATTAAGCTCAAATTTAGGCATTTGATACTTTTCAACATTTCACATTTGTAAAAATTATCGAAAAATTAAAATAAATAAATTACATAAAAATGCACCAAATATGTAGGGGTATTATGATCATTTTATTTAACATGATTACATGAGTAATTGATCAAATTACCCATAGCAGATGAACAATTTACCAATTGGAAAAGTATACAATGAGATCATTTACCTTTGGTACAAGGTGGTCACAATTAATCTTGACCATTGAATGTCATATTAAGAGGTTGTATTTATTCTATTGACCAAGTTCAAAGTTTAAAAGAAAATTTTTCGAACCTTATAATACACCCAAGCTATCAGATTTCACATCGGATTGTTTCAAGTAATTGTGACCTCCTTGTACCAAAGATAAATAGTCTCATTGTATACAATCCCTTAACAACTTGCCCAGTTATTTTAATTTATTTAAAAATACCCATAGAAAAATACATGGTCTTGAGTTGGAATAGTGGCAAATGGAAAAAAGTTAAATACTTAATGTGTAAGGGGTAGTTTGATAAATTGTCCTAATTATATCATTAATATTTTTTACAAGTGTGTTATGATGAGAAGTATGGATGCCCAAAATTTAAATTCATTCAAATCTGTAATAAAAATTTAAAATAAAAAATATTATAGATACCCCTTAGTTTGTATTTTTTATGCATACCTCCATCACAACACTTTTGATATCGCACTATTAACTCCAATACTATTTTTCTACAACTACCCCCTGACAAAAGCTGACTTTTTTTTTTATCAAAATACCCTCTTTTTTGCCACGTTTCCCGCTTTCTTTCTCTAAACTGGTTCGGCATAAAATATGCTAGACCGACACAACTTGTATCGAGCTGGTCCGGAACATCTTTTGTGTCATACCAACTCTATATTCAACTTGTACCGGTCCATAACATTTTTGTGCCGGTTCGGCACATGTTATGAAAACATGGGTCATGGGTTTTAAAATGAGATATATTTTGGTTCAAAAAATAAGATTTTTTAATTGGGGGTAATTGCTAAGAAAAATAGCGTTGGAGCCAATGGTGCGGTATGGAAAATGTCAAAGGGAGGACGCCTAGACAGTACATATTGGGGGAATCTTTAATTTTGCTTTAAAATACAATGTTCATAATAAAAAAATGGACTTAAGTGTAAAATACAAAATGCATGAGAACTTTTAAATTTTGAAAAAAAAATATTTTTTAATTTCTTTTTCATCCCGATGTTGGAAATTCAGCCCACTAAATTTTTTTTGTTCTCTCATTATTTCATTAGATGCAAAATTCATGCTTGCTTTTTTCCAATTATCTCTATGCTGTACTGTCAAAGTTTTAACCCCGTTTACTCCTTTTTTTCTTTTTTTTTTTTTTGTTCGTCCGGGGTGCAGGGACTGCAGCACGTGTGACTGGGATGCACGCCGATGACGTCATCTCATCTCATAAGAATATGCCCGCAATTGCTGAGTTGGCACGCCAAAGATTATTATTAGACGGGTCCCATATCCGCGTCAGCAAGAAATGGACGGCTCAAGGCATTCGAGAACGGAAAATGTTTTCTGATGAAAAATTGCAGTTCTGACCTTTAAAAACCTTCAAGGACTTGACTACTATGATATGTGAAAAAAAAATTAAGATTTTAAGTATTAAAAATACGGTGCGGTTTGTATAGAGCCGAGGCTCTAAACAATCAAATTAGAGCCCACCTTCAAATAGTATCGAGAAAAAATGTTTCAATATTGAAAATCTTTGTGGTAGCCTTAAAATATATGTTCACCTTTAATTATAAATTTTAAAACTTCAAAAATAGTGTAGATCAAGCAAATTTATGAAAACTTGAATAACTTAGAAATTGACGGTCCAAAAATACGTTACAAGATGCACTATTTCTAAAACTTGAAATCTATTTTTTTCTCAAGTCCAGGCATCTTGATGTCGAGATGATCAATCTGAGGATATTTGGCTATCGAAACAACCTCTTCTAGTGAATTTTTTGAGGTAGCCTCTAATTTGATTGTTTAGAGCCTAGGCTCTATATAAACTTTTTCCTTAAAAAAAATGTATATTATAATCAAG